TCATTCCTCACATGGGCACTCCCAGCACTCTTCTAGCCCGAGCCCCCTGTCACCCTCACTCTTTCCCCCTCACTCCTGCTCCCCAGGTGTGGACCCAGGGTCTAACCCTGAGAAAGCAACCTTGAAGCTGAGATCAGTGGTGCTGTCCAGGGTGCTGAAACAACGCGGCGCCCACGCCACTCCCAATGGAACAACTGGTTCCCATACCATTGTTTCATTCCCATTTAACAGATGAGAGATAGAAAGAGCAAAAGCTAGCACAACCAGACTTAGGAACTGAGCTTCTTGCCTTCCAGCCCCGGGTTCTTTTCCGCCACCCGAAAGCCCTAATATAATTCAGCGATGCACACTCCAAGTGATTCCATTCATGCTGCTCTGTTAACATGTAATATGCCCAAAGTCTCTCCCACCTCTATCTCTATGTCCCTATCACCAAACATTGATAGATATGTCCACCCCACAGAGCTGCTGAGACTGACCATGTAGGGTACTTGGGTAGATCTGCCTAAATGTATGTTCACGGCTTCGCTCTACTGGGAACCCATGGATGTAGTTCATCCTCACACTTTCCTGGAAAAGGGTGCTGTGCTCTGAGGAAACAATGGTCCTCCACTACTCTTCATAATTCACTAATAATTACTATAATTCTTACAGGTTGTCTACTGTGCTCCAGGCACTGAGACATTAACTTTCCATATGAAGTTTCTCACTCTTATGGTCAAGTCTCCTCTCAACAGAGAAGTCAATTCAGACTTCAGCAGGATAAATGACTTGCCAGTAGGCAGGGTGTGAATTGGAGGGCCAGACTATGAACTCAGATTTGTGTGGTTCCATAGTGACCTGTCAATCAAAACCTGTCACCTAACATATGATAGGTCGGTGGCTCTCGCCACTACTGGCTTTGTGATCCTGGGCAAATGACTTAGCTTGTTTGAATTTCACTCTCATTTGCAGATTGAGGAATGTGAAAGTGCACCTCTGTAGGGCTCCTGAAAGGAATAGAAATGAAGCATGTAGCAAGGGCTCCATAACTGTTTGCTGCTAATGTGCGTATTATTTTTATTGGGTACAAGTTCCTTGATGGCTGGATGGGTATCTGATGAGACTTTCTATATCCCTAGCTAGGAAGGTAGGAAGGAAGGAGAAAGTGTGAGGGCCAGCACAAACAGAATGCCAGGTGGGACTTGCTTCTTGCTCTATATTCCTGTGGCCTTAGTGGGTGTGACCACCTCGCTTGAGCAGGCATGTCTCTGAGTAGTTCTGCACTATTTCATCAGCACTCCTCACATTTATGTTGAGCCTGAGACCACTGTCAGCCCTCAGAGACTGCTTTCATAGAGCGATCCCAATATCCTCCTTAATAAGCCCTTGGCAGAGAGAGGTCTGGTGGGTTGGGATTGCTGAGGATGAGCCTTCACATCCATTACCACATTGGCTACTCATGTTCAAAAACAGGCAGACTGATGTGCCTCCCATCTTATAGATAAGGAAACTGAGGCCCAGCAAGGGGAAGTGACATGTCCAAGGTTACTGAGCCTAGGACCAGGGTCTCTAAACACTCAGAAAAGAGCTATTTTAATTAGTCTTTAATTAATTGCTGATCTTTAAATATCTTATTTTGTTTTTTAATTTTAAAATATCTTCACCTGAGGATATTTTTTTTTTCATTGATTTTTAGAGAAAGTGGAAGGGACGGGGAGAAACACAGAGAAACATGGATGTGAGAGAGATACATTGATTGGTTGCTTCCTGCGTGAGCCATCACCAGGCCTGGGGATCGAGCCTGCAACCAAGGCATGGGCCCTTGACTAGGATCAAACCTGGGACCCTTCAGTTCTGGGGATGATGCTCTGAGCAAAACTGGCCAGGGCCTAAAAATATTTTAAGGAAAAAGGCAGGTACATAAATTCACAAGCCAACCAGTAAATAAAGGCTTTGATAATTCTTATTGACTGTGGGACATTTGGCGTAGGGGTTCAGCCAAGTCTGCTCTGTTGATTATCATACCCTCCATCCTCACCAGGCTGGCTCATTAGAGGAAGTCCTATTCACTCAGAAGTGAGGGCAACAGTAATGATTTCCCCCTTAGAGACTGGTGCATGCAGGAATGAGTCACTAGATGCAATAACTGACTCATAATCACCTCCAGTGGCTCTTGTTCAATACCCAACAGGGCCCAGAAGAGCCTGCCCAGGTATAATGAGGCTGGGTGGGAGGAGATGGATGAAGATTTGCGGGGGTCTCACCAGGGCAGCTTGGCTCACAATCAGTCTTAGCCCCAAGCTTCAGGCAGGGGGCACTCAACAGCTAGCTGATTTCTGTAAGTGCCAACCCTTCACCCCCAAGTTCAAGGGCAGGAAGTCATTTGCATCCCAGAGGGGAGGAAGAGAGACAATAGCCTGGCCTCAGACTGTTGGACCTCTGACCTGCAGGCAGTGGGCACACAGACACTAGCCTCTCTAGGCTCCCCCAGGGTCCTATTTTCCCTTCTGAGGAGCAGTGACTTGTCTGGCAGCTGGAGGTAAAGACAGGGGAACAGGGAGGTGGGACTCCCAGCAGACCCAAAGATAATGTACAATATTAGACCATAATAACCTCAATGAACCCCCTCCCCAACGCACACACACCTCCTTGCTTCTACTTTTACCTCATTTCCCCCCGAAATGTGTCTCCTGACTTGGTCCATGGAGTCTGCATAATAGACCCTCTTAGAAGTGAGATAGTCCACCTCCCTCTACAAACTCATCGTTTGCAGATGGCAGAACGGGGACCACGAGAGGGAAAGCCACATGCCCAAAGCCACAGAACTACCCCAGGAGCCAAGATGCCTCACCAGCAGGTTGGTGTGGCCAGTGAACTTCAGCTTCAGTCACCTGAGCTTTAATCCCAAACAATTTTCTCACCCAAGCCCCAAACCTAGGCATTGCATTTTTCTGTGGAAGTTATGGATGAAGCTCGCATCAATAAAGGTAAATTAGAGACAAAACCTGCAGGAGAAACAGACTTGTCTCTTTTGAAGCTGCCACTGGAGCTAATTTTCACCCAGCTTGTCTGCACAGGGGAGGAGGAAGAGAGAGTGGAACTGAGTTTTGTTCTATAGACAAGGGACAGCCTGCCAACAAAACATGTCACCAGGCAAACCCACTCTCCTGCAGTGCTAAGGGTTTCCCAGTAGGATCTCCACTTTGGCAGCACACTGGCATCAACCAGACCATATTGGGGGTGTGGGGAGGTGGGGGTAGGGACTGCAAAGTTCCCCAGGTGATTCCAATAGGCAACCCAAGTTGAGCACTTTCCCCTTCCTACAAAACCAAGGCCACTGATCAGCAGCACTGGCATCGCCTGGGAGCATGAGAAATGCAGAACCCTAGGCCCCTGCCCATATCCATGGGATCAGAACCTGTACTTTAACAAATCCCACTGGGGGTTTCTAAGTTCACTGAAAATTGAGAAGTGCTGAGTCAAGACACTGTACATCTCTACACCCGATAGCAACTTCACAAGGCAGGTGTCCCGTTCCACAGGTGAGGAAACTGGTCCCGTTAGCTTGTGACCCAAGGTCACCCAGTTGGTGAGGAGGACGGCCTGGATGTGACCGTGGTTCCAAAGGCCGTACTTCCTACTGCACAGACCACTTCCCACAGCACAATTAAAAATATGGCCGTGGGGGACCCCTGAGTTTGGGGGTCCTGGGACCCTCTAGGCACTCTCCACCTTGGAACAGGATTTCACTTCCAATGTCAAGTTCCCTGGAATCAAATCTCATAAGCACCAGCATAATTCATGAGGAAATACAAATAGTAAACAAACATGTGGGGAAAGGTTCACTCTCCCTAGTAATCAAAGAAATGCAAATGAGAGCAACATTTGAAAATGAGGAGCCATTTTCTAACTATATAATTAGGGGAAAAAAGAATGTTAGCCAAGTTGTTTTGAAATAGGTACATTCATATGCAGCTGGTGGCAGTATAGATTTATATAACCCCTGAGGAAAGTAATATGGTAACATCCATCAAGAGCCATAAATAATTATGCCCACTGACCCCGGGAACTCACCCTAAAGGAAATCATTCAACGGGAGGGAAAAAAGCTGTTTGTAGGGAGATGCTCCTTGCAACACTTGCTGGGAACACTGGGAACAACTCAATATGCATCGATAAGGGCACGGCTGAGTTAATGGGGGTGCACCAGCTCCTGTGGTGCTGTGTAGCCATAGAGAAGGATCATTAAGAAGCCCAGGCAGCAAATGCTGGTGAAAGAAAGCAGATGGTAAACTGCCCATGTGCACTGTGATTATTATGATGTGAAAATACAGATGTTCCTTGACTTACAATGGGGTGACGTCCCAATCAACATATGGTAAGTTGAGATTATTGTAAGTCAAAAGTGCATTTAATACACGTAACCTACGGACCGTCATAGCGTAACCTGGCTTGCCTTGCACGTGCTCAGAACACTTCCATTAGTCTGCACGTGGGTAAAATCACTGCACTGCTGGTGCCGGGCCCCAGGGGAGAATACTGTAGAGCATATCACTAGCCTGGGTAAAATCAAAGTTCAAAATTCTAAGAACGGTTTCTACTGAATGTGTGTCGCTTTCACACCACTGTAAAGTCCAAAAGTTGTAAGTCAAACCACCGTACAATGGGGACCATCTGTATTGTGTGGATATGAACAGGGAAGAGCTGGGCACAAAGAAGACAACTGGTGTTTCAGGGTGAGGGGGCAATGGACAGAACCCCTATTACTTTCACAATTACACTCCCTACTTCATGCTCCCCTCCCCCCTCCCCGCAGAACTGGCCTTCTGAAAACAGCCTTGAGGGCTCTCCAGTCACAGGCTCTGTCTCTGAGGGGGACACAGAGATGCTCACATTCTTTATCCCTGGGCACAGAGCCATACTCCCCGATTCCACCCCAGGCAGGAGGAGCTGGCCCCTCTTCTCTGGAGTGGGGGGGGGGAGGAGGTACAGAACCATGGGAGACCCCTCCCATCTTACCATGAAGCCTGGGGCACAGGTGCAGCTCCCAGTGATGCTGTGGCAGTCGGCACCATTCTGACAGGCGCAAGGCAGCTGGCAGCCGTCGCCATAGTAGCCAGCGGGGCAGGACTCGTTGCAGTGGTGGCCAGACCAGCCAGGCTGGCAGGTGCAAGCTCCAGTTACTGGGTGGCAGCTGAGCACATGAGAGAGGATGAGAGGACGGTCTGGTCAGGGATGCAGGCATGTTCCACCCCCTGGTCTGCCCGGAGTAGCAGGATCAAAGGGTTTCTGAGGCTAACCTGTATCATGTCTCATTTACCTGTCAGAAGACCCCAAGGTCATGTGGTCTTATTACCCCCAAGACACTGAGGCTCATGGTGGTTATATGATTTGCCTGCAGCCACACAGCAAGAAACTGATAAAACCAGGATTAGAATGCAGGCCTCTGGACCCCCCAAACAAGTGCTCTATATAGTACAAATACAGAGACCAAAGCAGAAGGCAGCCTCTTCAGACCCTTCCCTTATGGAGTCCAGACCTTCACCAGCTCTGCACCCAAGACGGATGGCTGGTGTGGGGCAGGCACAGGAGGGTTTATGTGAAACCCAGCGGCTCGGGGCAGGTACTCGGTGAATGTTTGTTGAGTTAAATGACATCTCAAGGCAAATGGGGCCTCCCAGCGCTGGCCATGTCTGCACTGGAGAGGACGCTCTGTACCGGTGCTTTGCCAGGGCCCCTCCTTAGGAGTGAGGACACTGTCTCCATCCCCTACCTGTCTGGCCAGAGAAAGGGCCACTTGGCTAATGGCAGGAACTGCCTGCCAGGACCTCCCGACATGATCAGAGGGGATGTGAGATGCCATGTCTGCTTCTCAGGCTTCTGCAGGTGTATCTGACCGGTGTGGCCCAGCTGTGGCATCTGGAGTCCATCCCTGCATTTGCCCAGAGGCCACACATTCCCTGGGCTGCTCCCAGCTAGAACGCAGCAGGGATATGAAGGTGAGAGCACATTCCAGGGAGAGCTGGGACTCCTCCAGTGGGCAGTTTTGGTTTAAAGACTTCCCACCTTACCAAACTTTTTTGGCACGGTGCTGCAGTCTAAGATGTCCTATCCAGTCTTCCTTGATTCCTTCTCTCCTTCTCTCCTTCGCACCGTCAGACCTGTGTGACAGTCTGATGATGCCTACCCAGCCCCTCCCCCATTTCCCTCACAGCTGTCTCCCCAGTAAATCTCTTGCACTTGGCATCTTCTGGGAGGACGGAGACTAACACCCCAGAGAAGATGCAGGATGGTAGAGACGAGCCTCTTGGATGCCCCGTTACCTGCCTCCCTGCACCAGAGCCAGCGGAGGGATATGGTTGAAAGAAGCATCCTCTGGGCTGGCAGGAGGAGCTTGGGTACAAGTCTTAGTTCTGCTAAGTTCCCCAAGGACACGGGCTTTGTCTTCCTGGGTCACTTCCTGGATCTCCAGTGCCTGGCTGTTACAGCCAATTATACATTTGGGAATGAATAGTGCTTTCACTGTAAGTAATTATTTTCTGTGTCTGTTGACTTGTGTGTGATATGTCCGTCCCCCCCCCCTCACACACACACACACATACACACACACAAGGTGACAGCCCCGTGGGGAGAGCCTGCTGTCTGTTTCATCTCTGTATTGTACCCCAGGATGGAGCAGGGCCCCTGGCACACTGGAGAAGCTCAGTACATATTTGATGAATGAAATCATGAACAAACTAATTGTGTGAAGCCCAACCAAGCCATTTCTCTCCTGGGACCCCCTGGAAAAGGAGGAGTGGACAGGCAGTTCCTGCATAGGAAGTGCAAATAGCTAGTAGTCACTTTGGAAAATGTTGGATTCTTAACTAGTCTCATTAATCATCAATTGAATAGCACTTTTTGTCTATTATAACAGTAAAAAGTTGTTTGTTTTTTTTTTTTTTTTTTTTTAAGGAACAAGACTCAATGCTGGTAAAGGTTTCTGAAAAACAATGTGGGGATATGTACTAGTATCAGGAGACCTGCTAAAAATAGTCAGATCCTTTGATCTGGTAATTCCATTTCTTAGCATCTATCCTAAGGAAATAATCATAGTTGTGGGGAAAGATTTATGCACACAGATGTTTCCTGAAGCATTATTTATAACAGTGGAAAATGGAAGCAATTTAAATAATAAATAACATGTGACCAGGCTGTTAAAGAGCCAGGCACTTTACACACATATTTCTAATAATCAAATAAGCCTGCGGACGAGGGGTTGGATCCTCTATTTTACAGATGGCGCTTAGAGGTTATGTGAGGTGCCCAAGGTCACGCAGCCGGGAGTCACACCCAGTCTGCGTGACTGTGTTCTGTCCACTGCCTCTTGCTGCCTCGGACAAAAGGATACTGGTAAAATGAATTATGACAATTCATAAGAAGGAATATTTTAAAAAGCACTCAAATATCTTCCAGACTATTTAATGACATGGTGTAAGGTTAAGTGAAATAAGCAGATTATATGCAAAGTCATGATCTAAAGTATGAAAAAAAGTGATGTAGATATATTCAGACATGAATGATGGATGATGAATGAACAAATTACAACAAAATGGTTTTTGTGCTCCCCTCTGGGTTGACAAATGATGAGTGATTTAGAGTTTTTTCCTTTAAGTTTCTAAATATTCTCTAACATTCCCAAATTGAGCATTTATTCTATGGTGTGTCCTCAAATATGTAAATACACTTTAACAGCTGATAGCTCAATTTTGAAAAGAAAGTGTATTTTAATAAAACCTGCCTTTATAATTCAAAGTGTGTGTATACATTTATGGGGGCGACACCCTATATTTATAAACATATAAAACAATCAAAAGTACAAAAATGTAAAAAAAAAAAAAAAAAAAAAAAAAAGATGAGCTTTTTAAAGACTTCCTGGCCAAAAATTTCCAGAGAAATTCCTCCCTAAGCTCTACGTGGTGAGGGGAGAAAGAGTGGCCTGCATGGATGCAGGAGGCCCCATTTGGTGGCTCTGACCCTCAGCCAGACAGTGTGGGCTATTCCTTTTTGTCCTAACACTCAGCAAAGCACTCAAGCGGGGCCTTTTTCAGTTCCGACTTCCCAGGGGCCTCCTCTGAGGTTCGGGTGTAGGCTAGAGGGACCAGCTCAGTCACTGGAGAATGAGATGCTTGGACCTGGGAAATGACAGCAGGTGGTGCTGGCTGCAGCGATCAGCTCTGCCCAGCCTGGGAGATTCTAAAGGGTCGTAGGCACCCTTCTGCCCTTCCCATCTATAGAATCTCTCACTCAGGTTCTTGTTCTTGAGGGAACACCGCCCTGTGAAGCACGCTAGAGGTACAGTGAACCAGCAAACGCTGACTTCTAAGCACGCCTGCATTGCCCATCTTCCATCACCGCTGTCAGCGTTTGGGCTGCTCAAAGGTGTGTCTCAGCACCAATTTTACTTTTCACCCTGAGCACCAGAAATCCAAAAAACAAACTTGAAATTCTTTCTTTCTCTCTCCTTTCATATCCCTACACTTGTATTATTTTTTTAAAGATTTTTTTTTATTGATTTCAGAGAGGAATGGAGAGAGAGATAGAAACATCAATGATGAGAGTCATTGATTGGCTGCCTCCTGCACACTCCCCACTGGGGATCAAGCCCACAACTCGGGCATGTGCCCTGACTGGGAATCGAACCATGACCTCCTGGTTCATAGGTTAATGCTCAACCACTGAGCCGCACCAGTTGGGCTATATCCTACCATTTCATTTAAAAAAACAGATCTCTATTTTCGTCATTTGGTCACGTGTCGTGTTTTATAAAAACTCCCAAATCCCTTTGAAAAGAGGGAGGGGAGTGCCTGCTGACCGAGTGCCGGTGACTGAGCACCTGCTCACGGTGCCCTCCTCCTCCCGGTCGGGCAAGCGACTGCTGGTTTGGCTCAGGCACAAGTCACGATCGCTGGTGCTGAGCTTTGCTCTGCGTCTCTTTCCTCGCCTTCCTCCCATTTTCCCCAGACACGGATCAAGCACAAGTTAATGGGAGCAGGAAGCTGAACAATATAGGAATCTTTTCAGGGTGGGTTTTTCTGCCTTTCCCTCCCCCCGGCTGCTCTGAGATTACTATCAATGCTGCATCTGTTGGCTAAATCACATCTTTCAAAGGTAACACATGATCATGGCTGCTAGAATTCGTCTCTGACAATCCAATTGTGGAGGGGGCCTGGGAAAGGCCCTGCACGCAGGCACTCTTCCTCAAGGTTATTCCTTTATGAAGAAGGGTGGTTTCTTTGTGTGTGCCACACAAAGGGAACTGGGTGCTGAGGAATCTTATCAGCCACTTGCTCCTTCCCGGGCGCATGGACTTGACCTCTTTGAAGCAGCCTCTCCGGAGGGGCGGAGGGGCGCGGAGCAGACAGGCTGGGGATGGCTAGAGGAGCAGGGATTCCTTTGGTTGGGGGCTGGGAGTCCTTGTCTTCCTAGTAAAGACACTCCAGGCCTTGCAAACCGGCTCGGGAGGGAGGGCTTCTGTTGTAAACTCTTACAACAGAAGCAAGCAGAGGCCGGAGGAAAACGAGGCTAGGCTTCTGGGGGTCCCATGCTCCATCTCGGGAGTTGGAGGGAAGCTTCGCTTTCAAAAACCACAAGAGAACTTTACCCGCCATGGGCTGCTGAAAGGTGACGGACAGATTGGGAAATGGAGACGGAGAGAGGAGAAGCACACAGCTCAGGACATTTGCTCAGACAGAGGTAGTTCTGAGGTCAGGACTCGGGGGCCCCGGGCCCCACCAGATAATCTGTTTGGGGATTAGGAGTTATAGAGGTGTCCCTCGGTTTTTCTAGGGCCCAAGAGAGGGCTCTATAGTGGCACAGAGGTTCCTGGGAAGAGGGAAGTGACCTGCGTCCACACAGAGGATGACAGCTCTTCTCTGTCCATGGGGACAAGGCCAGTTCAACATGAGAAGCTCAGTCAGACTGGAGGCTCTGAGCCTCGGCAATTTTGCCTCCCCCGTGCCACCCAGGAAACGGTTCTGGTTTTCGGAACTTGGGGGCCGGGTGTTGCTACTGCATCTTGTGGGCAGAGGCCAGGGATACTGCTAAACACCCTAAATGGTGGTGAGACTGTGCAACCCTGAGTTAAACTGAACTCTGTGAGCCCTGGGGGCTAAGCACTGGGGCAGTATGCCAAGAGAAAGGGGTGCGGTAATTTTTAAAGTATAGGGCTACAGCAGCTCAAGGGCAGAGCCATCTGCTCTGTGCAGGCACTGTGCCCTGATGAGGAACCAGAGGCTGTGTGGGCGAGCCAGGCGCTCCTGCCCGCATGGAGCCCAGGCTCATGTAGACTCTGAGCAGACCAGCCTGGGGGGTTGGCTACCAGGTGCTCTCAGAACCTCCACTTCTAAGCGGCGCTACTGCCTCCCAGTCTCTGAAACATGACATACATTAAAGACAGTAAAGTAAATAATCATTAATATTGGATGGGCTGAGATTAGTGACAGAGGAGAGGGAGTCCTTCCAGATTAATAATGCATCGAGGACTCCTTCAGAGAAGGGATCAGTTCTGCAGGGCATGGCTGCTCAGGCACGGGAGGAAAACAAGAGCTCATCATTTGGGGTTTGGTTGGCTCTCTGTGGCAGGGACGCGCCCTGCATTAGATCTCAGCAGCAGCCTTGCTTCCTGTTTCAGGGAGGGTCCTCCTTCGGCTTCCCAGCAGGCATGGGGGTTCCTCGTGTCCCTAACCATGGAACAGCCTGAGATGGATACCCAGTCCCCTGACCAGTCATGTGGAACCCCTAGCAGACGAGGGCAGTTGTTGGTGATCAGGCCAGCAGGGGAGGGCAGTTGGGGGCAATTGGGCTGGCAGGGGAGCAATTAGGCATTGATCAGGCTGGCAGAGGAGGGTTAGAGGGTGATCAGGCTGGCAGGCAGGCAAGCGGTTGGGAGTCAGCAGTCCTGGATTATAAGAGGGATGTCCAACTGCCGGTTTAGGCCTCACAGGCAGTCGGACATCCCACAAGGGGTCCCAGATTGGAGAGGGTGCAAATTTTGTGCACTGGGCCTCTAGAGTGTGTGTGTGAGTGTGTGTGTGCGTGTGTGTGTGTGTGTGTGTGTGTGTGTGTGTGTATTTCATTGGTTCTAAGATGCATTTTCTCCCACATTTTCATCTGATACTGAATGTGTTATACAATCAATGGGGCATCATGATTAGTTGATAGCATTTTCCTGGGTTAGTAGTCCATAAAATACAGCTGTGCCTCACAACTTGTTTTGAAGAAATATGATAGGTGCTCAGTGTGTATGACTGCACCAGACACAAGTACCTATGGGCTGGCCTATGATAAAGGAAACTATTTCCTCTCTTCAGTCCCCCACAAAGGCATTCAGTGTTTGTTGAATGAATGATTGAGCGAATGAGTGTGAAGGTCACATACAGGCCAATTCTGTTGGCTCCAGGTCCCCCTACAACAGTCTCCTTCCCAGCCCTCTGCCCTGTAGGCAGCACCACCTGAGGACTGAGGACAGATCCCACCTAAGCCATAACGCTCCCTAAGATGCCTATTTGCACTGGCCAGAAGCTGTTGGGTGATTTGTGGAGAATCAAAAGCTGGAAATGAAGAGGGTCTGAGGCTAAGTCCTGGCTGTCCCAGAGACAGGGCTGCACACAGCGGCATGCACTGCCCGAGCGGCCAGTCCTCCCCTGAGCTGTCCTGCAGGCCCAAGAGGAGGAGGGAGCCTCTCCCCACACGTTACCACCAGATGAGTGGCAGCCACATAGAGGGCTGTGGAGGCATCTGTCTGGGACCATCCGCCTCATTTATACCAGAAGATGGTGCCAGCTGGTGCAAAGCAGGAAGTGAAGGGAGCTGGAGAGGTGCCCCAGGCAGCTCGGCTCTCCAGCTTCAGCCCAGGTGCCCCCAAGTCTCAAAGGACACAGCGCAGGGAGAGGCTGGCTCCAAGCCAAGGGCTTTCCATTCTTGTCATCAAAGTGGTCAGCAAAGATGGTTGCTGAGGTCCCAATTCTCTCACTGTGCCGCCTGGATGACCGGGCTGCCAGGGAGGGCCTGTGCCCTGAGAAGCCCTCTCGCCACCCGTGCCCACCCCACCCCTCCCACCAGTTCATACCTGATGGTGTTTTCAGCATCACAGGGGCAGGGCAAGGTGCAGCCGGGGCCGTGCAGGCCCTCGGGGCACAGCCGCTCCTGGCAGCGCGGGCCTTTGTAGCCAGGCTCACACTCGCAGGCGCCGGTGGCGGGGGAGCACTGGCCCCCGTTGTGACAGTCGCAGTGCTGTGAGCACTGGAAGCCAAAGGTCCCGAAGGGGCATTCCTCTTGGCACCTGAGGGACAGCAGGACAGGGCTGAGGCCATGCTCCTCACCAACCCTCCAAGGCCCACCCGGCATGCACCCCCCACAGCCTCCTCCCCTTTCCCTCCTTCCAGAAAGTACTCCTGGGCATCCCGGCCCGCCAGGACTGTCAGTCCCCCCCCCAACCCCCCACCCCCCTCCCGCGTGCCCGGTCCCCTTGGTTCCCACACTGAATTTGCACAATCCCATTTCATGGATTATAGGCCTTGTGTTTGTTTTTTTGGTTTTTGTAATTTTTTTTTCATTTTTTGATTGCAATAAAATAGGTTGCATAAAATTTACCACTTTGAGTATCCAGTTCAGTGGCATTATGTACATTCATACTGTTGTGCAGCCATCACCACCACCCGTCTTCAGGACGCTTTCCTCTTCCCAAAGTAAAACTTCTCCACCCACTGAACACCAAACCTCACCTTTTAAAAATGCATCTCAACATCCCTGAAATCAGTTAAGTCTTGCAACTGATGGCACGTCAGAGTGCCATTACCAGTGCTTTTCCTTCTTCGCAGAATAGGAAATAATGATGCATTTTATAATCGGTGGCATCTTAGATTGAATGAGAGGCAGTGATTTCATTCCCATTCTCTGTCCCTGCTGCTCTGAGTCTCCCTTCCTCACCCCGGGAGGCGTGTCTATTGTGTCGGGCGGACTTTCCCCAGGATCATGGGAGGCAGCCTCTTTCATCGGACTAGAGAATGCCCCTCCCCGTCAGACTGGAGACTTCCTCCTCCTTGGACTGAGGGTCCCCGGAGCCTCTCCCATCAGCTGGTGAGCCCCCACGGGCTCTCTCGGGGTCCTGCCTCGGCTCGGCCTGGTACTTGGAGCTCCCGGCATAAGGGTAATTATTTGACTCAGACTCACAGCCACTGGCTGTAGATCCTCTGTGGGAGGTGCGGCCCCTGCTCCCTAGCTCCCTGCACAGGCCAGACACCCTCACCTGCCCCAGGGCTATGGCCCAGGGGACGCAAATTCACTGTCACAGCATCTGGCTCTGACAAGGGAAGGGGTAAACCTGGGGGCCTGTGGAGTAAAGCGGTGGGCAACTCCTGCGTCCCAGAGACAAGCAGAAACGGCCGCTGGGATGTGGGGTCACCCTGTGCCGGCGGCGCTTGGATGGAAAGGAGAATGGAGAACCGGCAGCCCCAGCGACTGCTTCCTCTTCATGAAAGGGGACAGGAACGGAAGCTCACCCACCAGGGTGTCTGAGGGTTAAATGAGATAATGTGTGTTACCTTTAAAAAGGCATCCCCTGCACGGGAAGGGCTTGGTAAGAAATGTTCCGTATTATTATTATGACTCGTAAACACTGTTTTTTTGTAGTTCTCCTAACAGAGCCCACCTGACTTTCTGCCTCAGATTCTGACATAAAAAAGCTCAAAGGGAACAATTCCAGGACGTTAATAGTGGGGTGGACTTGGGGACTTACAAGTATTTGAGTTGTCACATTTCCCCGTTTTCCAGGTTTTCTACAGTAATCGGGACGGGTAGCAATAAGAGATGTTTACAAAAATACAGCCCTGGTTTCTTGGTTAATCTTGGAGAGTCTTGAGTTAGTACCAGTGTCCTCCACAGCGGGGCTGGAGACCTGTGTCTGGGTAACCTCAGTTGCCTTTTGTGAGGGTCAGTGGCCAGACCCTGTGGTGTGGCAGGGTCAGCCGGCAAGTGGCTGGGGAACAGAGCAGAGAGGGGGTCGGGCACGAGTCTTGGCAACTATAATACACAATGGGGTGTCTCTGTCTCTGTCCTTGTTGCCTTGAGCCCACAAGGACAGGGAGGAGACGGTAACTGGGGTCAAGCCCCCGGCCTTCCTTCAAAGGAAGATGCTACCCAGTCTCACCTCCCATGGCCGCTGTGGCGAAAGGAGGGGCAACAGGGATAATGATGCCTGCAGCCCCAGGCACCCGATAGAGAGGGGCTTCCAGCTGCTGGTTCCCACAGCCTGTCCCCAGGTCCCCAAGACAGCAGATCCCCCATCACCCTCACTTTGGAGTGGAGGAGGCTGAGATGCAGGCAGGTGAGATGACTGCTCCAGCCTCATGAAGCCAGCACGTGGCTGTGATGATCCCAGATCATCTTCCTGTAAATCTTGTGGTTTTTAGCCAGTGGAGGCCTCATGAAGGGACAGAGAACAGGAAAGAGAGGGCAGAAGAGGAAGAAAGAAGGGAAGGTCTGGAGAAGGAATGGGAGGAGGAAGACAGGAAGGAGGTGGGGAGGCAGGAGGCAAGGAGGGAAACTGAGGCAGAAGGGGAGGACGCAGAGCATGGAAGAGCTGGGGGGAAAAGTCACTATATGCCTCACCAGCCCTGTTCTGCCTCAGAATGGATTTTTCCAGGAGTCACTGGGCGAGGCTCCTCTTGGGTATCTCAGACATCAGGGGAAGAAACCCAAGCATCCTGACCCCTCTTCCCTTTCTCTGGAACATTCCTGGTCTTGCCCACCAGCAGGACCGGGCAAATCCCTGGACAGTCACTGAGCTTCCTCTGAAGGGCACTTCCCCATGGGCCATGCTTGTGAAGTGATTGACTCCACAGCCCCAGAAAAAGGATCTGGAAATGAAATATTGACAATCTAATCCATTTGCATAATCAGCCTCCTTTTTTTCCGTACTCACAATTTAAATAACTTATTTATTTAGAGATCAAGCAACGACTGCTAATGAATTTTACACAAAGCACGCTAATAACGGGGCCTGCGGAACAGAAGGGTAATCACAGCAGGAATTAGTTTTCTACTTAAACATCCTTCCTTTGCAACATATCAATCTAATGTGTCTGATATTGCTATTAACAACCAGATACATTGCTCAATTAAATTACAAAATGAGCTGCAAAGCCCTCGTTACGTTTCGTGTTTAATTTGCACTGGATTCTGCCTATCCGGGGAGGCCTGCGTTATTACACCCACTCAATTTTAATATGCTCGTGATGATGTGGGGTGGGTTACTGCAGCTGTCACCTACAAAATTCATGGAGGCAATTTCACAAAATATTAAACATCAGGCAGCCCGTTGTGGTGGGAGACCCAACGTTACCCGGCCCTTCTATTGAACTCTTCTCTGTTGTCCGATTGGTGACGCTTGCTAGGGGACCCTGAGGCTTTTGAGATGTCTCTCCACTCCAAGACCAAGGGCTGGACCCCAACAGGAAGAGGGATGGCCTGCTTCTCCATGTGGGACATCCTGGCATTGAGCATGGAGCGTGCCAGTGAGGCAGGGTCTACTCGTGTTGGGTCCAGTCACGTGGAGCCTTGGGCCCGCTCCTCTCCAACAAGTGGGTTCTACTCCCCATCCTGTGAAAGTGGCCGAAACAAAGGGGTCCTGCCCTGGTTTCTGCCTTCCCGCTCCTGTCCCTATTGGCTCATCCTGAGTGTTTTCTTCCTGGGGGGAGATGGATGGGAAGGTGGGCTCAGTGCTTCAGTCCTTCCTCCCCTCCTTCCCTTAGGAACCCAGCCTCTGACAGAAGCCACAGAGGGATGGGTCCCCAGCTGTGACACCCCAGGCTCGGTGCTTGAGAAGTTCATTGAGATACACCCGGACTCACAAAGAGCTCAGATCTGGCTTTGAGGACTTCAGGGGAGGTGAGAGCAACCCCATGGCTAACAACAGAAAAGCTCCATTCCGCCATCAGTAAGGATTTGGGGCTGACTCTAGTGAGAGCGGGAGGAGTCCAGTTGGGTCAGTCAAAGGCAGAAGGACTCACTGGTTGATTCAGCCCCATCTCGGCTCCTCATGTTACCTGGGCAGGGGAGGCAGAGGAACGGCAGACAAATGCTCCTCTCATCCTACGTTGCCTGGGCAGAGCAAGCCAGTCCAGGGCCAGAGATGAAAGATGGGTCCCAGAACCAGGCATGGGCTTTGAGGGCCTCCTCTCTCTGCCCAGAGAGAAACAGGTGGATGAGAGTGCAAGGAAGGAGGCTTGACCCCAGTCTCGTGGGCAAATGTCCTCTTCCAGCTCTGAGTCGACTCACCACCGGACACTGGAACATTCCTGGTCCCGCCCACTGGTTGTTTCTCATCCTTCCATAGCACCCTATCCTATCATCATGACATCCTTCCTACTGTGGCAAATGTGCCCACACGGTTATTCCTTAGTTACGTGTTTTGTGGATTATCCACTCTGCGGGGCTGGTTTGATCCCAGGATACTGGTGTCCTTGTTCAGTCTGCTTTCAGACCACAGGCCTTCAGAGGATACAAACTGATGTCAGCATCCACTTGGCGGAACTCACATTAGGAATACAAACCCACTTCCAGGAGAAATGGTGCAGAGTAGGCACTCTTGGCTTCTTTGCATTATTGGTGCCATTGCCTCCCTCCAGGAGGGCAGAACGTCCAGAGTGGATGGAAGGTGCTTACATGCTTCCCCAGGTGAGTCAACGCATGTTCAGGGCTCAGGCCCCTGCGCTGGGGGAGGGGGTACATTCAGCAGCCCAAGGGTGAGGAAGGAGGAGTTGATACATCTCCCTGGCAGGACTTAGAATGCTCTCTGAGAAAGGAACGGGAAAGCTGGCTGGAGGATGCTGTGGGCTAGTAAATATCAGCTATTTCTCTGCAAGGCTGCTTCCTGTGAATGCTCAGAAAATGAGTGACGTGAACAGCAAGGACAATAGTTAGCATCATCCTCACCTGTCCCCCATGTATCCCGCTGTGCAGTGGCACTGCCCAGTCACGTGGTCACACTGTCCTCCGTGGTGGCAAGGACAGTCCTGGCTGCAGTTCTGGCCAAACGTCCCCGGTGGGCAAGGCTGGGCACACACTGCTCCCTGGAACAGAGAAGGAAAGGCAGCCTAGGCGGTGCTTCTGAGATGCAATCCGAAGGCCACTCTCTCCTACAAGGGGCGCTGTGGCTACGGCCGAAGGGCCTACCCTGCTTCCTTAGTGGAACTTTCTCCCCAACCACAGAAGCATAGAAAGTTGGACATCCTGATACCAAAGCCCCATTTTAGAGATGGGCAGATTGAGGCCAATTTGTTTATTCAGTTGTTCAGCACACATTTATTTGTTGAGTGTGTTACATACCAGGCACTGTTAGACACGGAAGATATAAAAATATGATCAAGACTTGATTCCTGCCTCCTAGATTATTGGGGAGAGAGACTAGGAAAAGAAGGTGACTAAAGTGTCAGGTGTGAAGTGCTCTCACATTGGTACACAATGAAGTGCTGAGGAAAAACAAAGAGACTGTGATTAAACATGGTGATCTGGAAACATACATGTAGCTCTACTTCTTTCCCAAACATACCTAACACCAGAGTAAAGGGGGGAGGATATAAACTCATAAGGACAAAAAGAATGGGGGAGGAGACTATAGAGGATGAGAGATGTCACTGTTGGATGGAAAAGCAGATGGAGGAATAGAACCGCTGAGATTTCTGCTTTCTCAGCAATGCTAAGTGCCTGCAAGGGAGGGTGGGAAGACATCCGGTGGCTCTGTAACCTCAGAAAAGCTCAGGAAGCAGAGACAGCAGGAACCTCAGAAGGCCAAGGTACAGGTGTGATGAAACAGAAAACTATTTGAAAACTTATGAAAGAGGGAATTAGCCCGAGCCGGTTTGGCTCAGTGGATAGAGCATCGACCTGAGGACCAAAGGATCCCAGGTTTGATTCGGACAAGGGCACGATTCCGAGAGCTTAGGCCCTGCTCAGGGCACATGCAGGAGGCAATCAATCGATGTCTTTCTCTCATGTAGTTCTATCTTTCCCTCTCTCTCCACCCTCTCTCTGAAAATTAATGGAAAAATATCCTCGGTGAGGATTAAAAAAAAAAAAAAAATATATATATATATATATATATATATATATATATATATCTCCTCGGTGAGGATTAAAATATATATATATATATATATATATATATATATATATATATATATATATATATATATCTCCTCGGTGAGGATTAAAAAAAAAAAAAGACCCCAGATTTTTGTGCCTTTTTTTTTTTTTTTAATATATTTTATTGATTTTTTACAGAGAGAAAGAGAGAGGGATAGAGAGTTAGAAACATCAACGAGAGAGAATCATCAGTTGCCTCTTGCACACCCCCTACTGGGATTGTGCTCGCAACCAAGGTACATGCCCTTGACCAGAATCGAACCCGGGACCCTTCAGTCCGCAGGCTGACACTCTATCCACTGAGCCAAACCGTTTCGGCTGTGCCTTCTTTTCAAATAGACAGATGGCTTCCCAAGACTGGCAGTTTAGCAAGGTTGGCCCACATAGGCTGTGGACACAGAAATACCAAGCTGAGGGTGGGGTTCCACGGGAAATGAGGATCCTGAGAGCTCTTCCTGTGAATGATCAGACCCTCTGCTCTCTTCCTTGCTCAACTCCTAGAATGCAGATTCCCAGACTATACTCTCTGTGGCAGGATTCTGGAGGATTCCTTTCGGGGACACTGAGAGCTCAGGAGGAAAGACCTACCGATTCTGGTATTTGAGGATCCCCTCTGTCAACACACCTAGCATCTATCCCCACACCTAGGCTGCCAACCAGCTTTTCTGAGTTCATGGTAAAGTATGAGCAGGTGGCTAAGGAGCATCAGGTATTTGAAATGAGGCTCTAACATGAAAGAAGATTCCAACACGAAGAAGACTTGTTAGAAGAAGATTTCTAACAAGAAGGCTCTAACGTGAAAGAAGACCAAAGCAGACAAATAGACAAAATGAACAACGCAGGAAGCAAAGAAAACAGGATTAAAACCTTTGCTATCATGATAGTGAACACCTTATACAGTTGTATGAAGAAATATGGAGGAAAATGCCAGGAGAAATGAACAGATTTGAGTGTGGTTGCCTGGGAGTGGGATAGGGCATGGCTCTCCTTTCCCTTGGTGTCAGCTGTGTGGTATTATAATGAGGTACCTTTTAAAATAGAACATGAATCTTAGATCTTTATCATCAGAAATTGCAGCCCGCTCTTGTCTCTTGCTGCCCTTCCAGCCTCTCCCCGGCCAGAGGTAGTTATTTCCCTTATGGAGATGGAGGATTCTCCCACAATTAATTAATCAATTAGTTCAACACACAATTATTAAGCACCGATAATTGCCAACCCTGAGGCAGCTAGTGTAGGCAGGAAAATCGTGCTGACCAGAGACATCTTTCAATATCATTCAATTTACTTGTAATGAATTAAGTGGGAGGCTTTTTCGCTCAGACGTCTCCTCCGCACATAAGTCAGCGAGGAGCTGAGAGGGCTGAGAGGGGGCAGGAAGGGCAGTGAGAGGAATGGGTGTGTGAGGACAGCCACAGGGAAAGGCTACTCAGAGGAGGGGCCCCTCTTCCTCCTGGAGGAGGTGGGGGAACCTGGGGGTGGCAGGAGCCTGCATTTCTCATCCTGCAAGCTTGGGGATTCTTGAGGGAAGAGAGGAGTCTTTCTGGCCGTTCTCTGAGTCGTCCTCTGCAGCCCTGGGGTGACCAAGGATACTCTGACCCTGAAAACACACACACACACGCACACACACACACACACACACACACACACACACACACACAAGACCAAGGCTCCCGGAGAAGCCCAATGGGAAAGTTTGGAGCACAGAATGCTTCCTTCCAACACTGCCTGGGGAAATCAGGGATCCTTGCAACTGCCTGGTATCTCCCAATTGCAGGCAACCCAGGTCTCTAACCCCTACACCTCTCCTAGGGCTTGAGCTCCTGAGGCCTTAAAGAATTTGATGCCTTGGAAGACCTGCTACTGGTGTGGGAAGAACACTGGATTCAAAGTCAGGACTTGGGTTCAAATCCCGGTTCTACCTCTTCCCAGATGGCTGAGCTATGTGATTGTTCTGAGCCTCAGTTTCTTCATCTATAAAATGGGAATGGTAACTTTGGGTCCCCTAGGTGATGGTAAAAATTAAGTGGGATTAGAGATATGAAGGACCAGTGTCTTAAAGAGCAGGCACTAAATTAATATAAATCCCACCCAAGCAGACATCTGATGAGGGGTGTGTGTTAGGAGCCCGGTATAACCCGGAACTGAAAAGAGTGGAAAAGAACCACATAAACTAGTCAATCACTGCTGGTTAGAAGAACAGCCTTTGGTGAGAAACAGGGGGCAGGGGGAGAGCAGGCAGGAACATATCCTCTTGAGAGAGGGATGTGTCTAATATGGTTTCCCTCCTGTGACTATGAGCTGAATTGTGTTGCCTCAAATTCCTGCATCCTAACCCCCAGCGCCTCAGAATGTGACTGTATTCGGAGATGGGGCCTTTATAGAGGTAACAGAGTTGAAGTGAGGTCATTAGGGCAGGTCCTAATCCAATATGACTAATGTCCTATTGAAGAGGAGATTAGGACTCAGAACAGGGACAGAGAGAAGACCACGTGAGACAGCCATCTACAAGCCAAGGAGAGGAGCACCGGAAGGAGCCAACCTGCCAATACCTTGACCTCAGGCTTCTGGCCTTCAGATCTATGAGAAAGCAAATGTCTGTGCTTCAGGCCACCCAGTCTGTGCTACTGGGCCTGACAGCCCTAACACACCTGCCCTATGGCCAGCGAGGTGCGTGTCTTCAATTGTAGAGGGAGCTTGGGCTGTGTGGCATCTGGGAGGTGGAGATGCCGTGAGGCCATGGTCCTGCTCCTCTCAGAACTGGTTAGACCTGCTCATTGGTTTTATCAAAATCTGGATACCAGCCTCACTTTAAGAGGACAGTGACTAAACGGAGCATGGAGAAGGAGAGGGCCGAGGTGATAAAAGGACTCAAGACCATGCCAAGGAGACATCTCAGCCTCTCCAAGCACCTGAAGGTGTTTCCAATGATCACTGTGGCCCCGGGCAGCGGAGGTGCTGGGCCACAGGCCAGGGCATAGGGCTTCAGAATCCTCCTGCTCAAACCTGAGCGTCTGTGATGCCACAACCTTCGCTCCAAACGCCTCTCTCTGGCCCTCCATGGTAACGGATCCCTTCTCTTCGGGCCTGTGGTTTCCATGGGTACGCGCGCACACTATATCCAGCCTCACCATCAGACTGGGAACTCCTAATGAGGGGGGATCACATCTCCTATCACCACGTCCACCTGCAGTGCCTGCTCTCATAGAGCTACTCACACCTGACTTCTCTCCTCAGAAAGGTCTGAGAGCTCAGAAAGAGAGAGGAAGTAATTCCCAGGCTCTTTGCAAAGCCATCCACTGGAATGGGCTCAGCACAGCTGGGCAAGTGGAGTGTCCCATGGGCATGCGCAGGGCCTGGTGGCAGGAATCTCTGAGGAGGGGCTGGAGGGCCAGGGTTGCAGGCAGCTCCCCTCCAGCTCTGCACAATGCCTCGGTTCCTTGGGGAGCTGCACCGTGTGAGTGAGCAACTGGAGTCTCTGGGTCTGATTGTGGCATCCAGGTAACACCCACAGGGGCCAAAGGTAAGCGAGGCCCTGGAGGAGGATAAAGGGGGGACCCTTCTGCCCAGAACCCTCTCTTTGGTCCCAACCCTCTCTGGGAGGGGTCTGAGGCACTGGGACTCTGCATGCATCAGGGGTATTAATAATTCAGACAAATCTGCAAGTTAAATGCTGTGTCAAAAATAGAAATGCAATTGTCTGCAATAAAATTAAAGACATAAAGTCCCCAAATCCAAAGCTTCTATTGACAGAGTTTCCTGTCTTCTGGAGGAACAAACTCCTCACTGTGCTGGGGACAGAAACAAATCTCTCCTGTTGGCTTCCTCCCTTCCCCTGCTTCCCTCCCCAGCCTCCGCCAGTCTCTCTAGAGGCCTTGACAGGCACAGGGCCTGCTCTCCAGGACCACGTCCCGATCCTCTTGACCCGACCTCACTGCCTGCCGCTGGGCCTCTGAGGACCAGCGGAGGGTGCTGGGATTCTGGAAGCTGGCTGCAGATAAGAAGGCCTCTCCAGAGTGTGGGTCAGGTGGGAGAGGCGGCAGCAGCCCCTGTGTCTCCTCCGAAGAGACAGAGAGACAGACAGAGAGACACCAAGGGTTAGGATTCAGCAGTCAGGAGACCTGGATTCTAGCTCCACCTCCCTCCTGACCAGCAGTGTGACCTGTCTGGCTTCCTCACATGAGAAAGGAAGGTATGAATAGACCAATGGTGTCCAAGCCTGTTTAAAGCGGAGAGACCCTGATCTGATGAGAAATCTCCCCTAGAACCTCAACAGAGACAGTACGCATAGATTAAGATGGAGATGTGGGTGTGGGAGCCGGAGTCCTCATTATCAGGCTCCCACCCCCACTCTCGCCCCCAAGAAACCCAAGGACTCTGTGAAACAAGGAATCCTATGGTCTCGATTGATTATTTCCAAATGCAGAGCGGCAGACACAGTCGGCAGCCGCAGAATCAGCTGGGAGCTTATTAAAAACAGAGTTCGCTGGGCCCAGGAGGTCTCTGGTGGAACCCGGAATCTGTGTCTAACATGGACCCCATCACTCTAGTGTGCAGCCAGGTTTGGGTGCTGCTGGACCAGATGTCCCCCAGGTCCTCTCCCGCCCTAAAAAGCCCTGGCCAGTCTGTACCTATGTCCATGGGCCCTGCAGGTGTCCCTCCTGCCTGCCTCCTGTGACCTAGACGGGCACAGCCCCCTGCAATATTCTGCTCCTGCTCAGCAGCCCTGTCCTCTTTGGCTTGGCAAAGCTTCAGACCCCAGGATGAGGCCCCCAGCC